CAAATTAAGATCAAGTGCGTGTTTGAATTCTCTCTTTTCTGAGCTAGAAGTTACTTATAAGCATAAGCTAGGCCAAACAGGTTTTGAGAAAAGCTCTTATAACAAAATCTTTTTTTTATAATGAAGAAAAAAACTGCAAACTAAAAGTTCCTATGAAGAGCTTTTTTTTAAGCTTTTATCTTTTTTTCTTGAATTGTGTGCTTTTTTTTTAAACAAAAAGTGATAAAGATAGAGAGAGAAATAATTTTTTTGAAACATGTGCTTTTAAGTAATTTTCAAGCTAAATTTTTTATGTAATTTCCAAACAGCTTTTAGCTTCTTTTGTTAAGTTATTTTTTTTTAGCTTTAACTTATAAATAACTTTTAGCTTAAAAATAAGAGGATTCAAATAGTCCATCATGTGTCACACTCCCTGTCTCAATTTTCAAGGAACAAATTTTGGTACCGGGAGCACCGAATTCAATATTCTCTTTTATTAAAAAAGGAAACTAAAAAAAAAAAACATGGATAAAAAAAAAATCTCTTATTAATAAAAGAGAGTATCAAGCTTCCAGTGCACAAATACTTTTCTCAATTTTCAAACTAAAAGCTGGAAATAGCCTACTCAGTTGGCCAAAAGTACCCGCAATATTGTCTTGGCTGGGGTCATGTGTACGGGAGAAAGCCCATTAGGAACCTTTCTTAACCCATTAGGTTCTTTGCTTAGACCAAACCCCTTCCTTAACTACTCTATTATTGGACTAACCAAACTAATGCAACTCCCAGTTATCATATAGGTATGATGGGCTCACACTCTGCATTGTGGGACCCGTCAGCTAACCTACGCTCTGTAGTGAGGTCTGTACAGAAAAGAAAGGCTGGTAAAAGAGGCCTAAGATACAAAATCGGTTTATTTTGACAGGGTTAAAATAAATAATTTGATTTGGGGGAAATCATCGTAGCGTAGGGTAAGAAATAAGAATAACATGTGACGTGGTAATTAAAATTGAGATTTTACTTAAAATTGAGAAGAGGATAAAAAAATAGTAAAATGTAAAATTCTAAAGTAAAGAAATTTTAAAAATTTTAAAAAATCTAAAAATGTTTAAAATTTTGATGAAATCATTTTGATTAAAAAAAATTGTAAAATTGTAAAAGTGCAAATTGAAATTGAAATTTTAACTACCATAACATGTGACATTAGTAAAAAGAGATGCTAATAATGTTCCCAATGTCATTAAGCTCGGACAGATATGGACCCATCACTGATCCAATTAATGAGTCATACATGGAATCAGTTAAACTGAATTTATATATTAATATATAATTAATATAATAATAGGTGTATCTTGACAAAAAAAATTATTTTGGTATAGTGGTTGAGCCTACATTTACTCATAATTTCATGAAAAAAATATGGGGAAATAATTTATCCTTTAAAATATGTAAGTTATACCAAATGGCGGTAGCTCAGTTGGTGCATGGGAGCTAGGCAGGTGGGAGTGAGAGTATGTGTTCGAATCTCCCCAGTACCACCTTTAGGAGGGGTTTAAAGCCTTAATCCTGGACCCGCCCCGAATTGGATTAATTGCGAAGCAATGAACCGATTGGAATATTTTCAAAAAAAATAAAAATAAAATATGTAAGTTATGCTTTTTTTACTAATTTATAACTATGTATTAAAAGTAATATATAATTATAATATTAAAATTAATTTTTTTTATCTCTTCAAATCTATTTGTTGATGTGAAAAGTAAAAAAAAATAATAATTTTAATAATATAACTATATATATACTATTTTTAATACATAATTATAAATTACTAAAAGAACATAAATTATATTTTTTTTAAAGATAAACTTTTAACCCAACAATTATATGTTTGACACCCGGTAACGAATAAATCTTTGGTACTACTGCTGTACCTAGATTTAGTGCATCCCATCAACGAGAGCATTACACATTAGAGGAGAAAAAAAAATGACAGAAAAAAAAAAGAATTTTAACTGACATGTACTATTTCATTGATGGGATGCACTGAATCTTTGGTACAACAGTAGTACCAAAGATTTATTTTCCAGTAACACCAACACAAATTATTTACCCAGCGCTTTGTAGTGTGCTACGTGGACCACCACATTTGCTATGTGGCAATATCGTTCCGCAGAAGCACAGACACGTGATTTTTTTAAAAATTTGAGAGCGGGACACCAACACGCTCCGACACATTTCGACACGCGGTCAATATTTTGGGACACGCGATCAACTCTCTGACATGTTCCGACTCATTTTTCTGACACATAGTTAACTTTTTTCGACACGCGGTCAACGCTCCGCCGTGCATCTGACATGTTTTTTTTAGTCTTAATTTTATTTTATTAACTAAATATAAAAAATAATTTATAAATTAATTTTTTTCTGTTATGAAATTTGACTTGAAAAATTAACAAAGTATGAAAAATTATTTTTGTTTATATTTATGCTATGAAATTTGAATATTTGATTGAAACTTATTATGGATTGCTATATATATTAAATATAAATTATATTATATATATTAAAATTTTTTATTTAATATCAAAACATGTCTCAACGTGTCGAAATATGATATTTTTTAGAATTAACGTGTCGGCATATCGTGTCGTGTCGTATCCATGTCGATGTCGGTACATTATATCCCGCAACCTCGGTCTCTCCCGCTCTACTTCTACTCGCCTCAACTCCGAGTCATGTAAAATCATTTATTACATTAATTCGATTATTTAATTGTGTAATTAAACTATGTTAATTATATTCATTTATCTGTTTAATGTTTATTGCATCCATTATCAATTTAAAAATAATAATTACATAAATCAAAAAGCCAGTGGAGATAAATATCACACGTACATAATAAATAATAATAATAATAAATAATGTTATACAAAAATAATAATACTAATCCTCAAAGAATAAATAATATAATAAAAATCAATCAACATCATCGTACTTCTCGAGGACTTCAAGCATACACATTTATAATAGGGAAAAATGTTTATACTTTTAAATGACACAACTTATATCATTTTACTTTCACAAAGAGGTGGAACTCACACCTTTATTTTTTTAGTCAAGTCTCTCTCCTCCTTTATCTATCTCTTTCTCTTTCTTAAAATGACATAACTTTAGATCCTTTAAAACGACACACATTTTACCCTTTATAATAAGGTGGTGGAGCTAAATTGTCCCTGGCACTCGAGAAGAAACTAGTGGCAAAGTCATTTGTTGTTGCGAGGAATGTCAATATCGGTTATGACACGCGGGTCGATCCGCGACACGACACGAAAATTCGTGTTGAAAAAAATAACACGTAAAAAATTCGTGTCATGTTCGTGTTGATGTATCAGTGTTCGTGTTGACCCATATTTTTTTTTTATTTTTTTTTTAAATTTTTTAATTTCGACCCATTTTTTAAATTTTTTTTTGTCAATTACCATTTTGACCTCTATTATGCGCGTTATTCGTGTCGTGTCGTGTCAACCCGCAAAAAATTCGTGTCGTGTTAGTGTTGAAGATTTTGACACGAATAAAAATTCGTGTCGTGTTCGTATTGATATATTCGTGTCAAATTCGTGTCGTGTCAAATACGTGTCGTGTCAATCTATTTTGACACCCCTAGTTGTTGCTCAACGAGCTGTTAGCGCTATTCAAATTAAGATGTTTCATACATTTGTGATATTTGTTAATAGAAAATTAAAAAAAAAAAAATTAATCTTCATACATATATAATCTAATATGAGTTGGATTATTGGTTTGATGCAGGTTTTAAGTGATCTCCAGAAGAGAGCAATTTATGATCGGTACAGAGAAGAAGGCCTTAAGGGCCAAATGCCACCTCCAGATGCTCCTCAAGCTAAAGTAAATTTGTTTTCTTATGTAATTTGGAACCCCATTACCTTCAATTACATGTACGAAGTTTCATCCTTTTTTTAGTGATATCATATGATTAAATCTATTTGTTTTGTAAGCAAGCAATATTTTCCATGTTTTGTATGTTGCAATAAATGTTGCTTTTGTTATATATCAACAAATAAAAAAGTAGCCACAATATAGCATGGCTATTTTTTTAAAAAAATTAATTATTTGGCCACGGTTATACTGTGGTAAATACAACTTTAATCTTAGCTAAATATATGTTACTACACTCAATCTGAATGTGGCTAAGTAAAACAACAAAAGTGGCTAAAATATCGCTACACCATGATTAGCCACATTTGCAAAAAAGTGTGATTGCTTTTGTTAGCAACAATTCATATGTGATATAGCCACTTTTTAAGCGAGGCTAAATATCAATTTTTTTTTTTTTGTAGTGCTAATATGTGGTTTTGACATTCGAAGAGAGAACCTGACAGGAAAAAAAGTATAAAAAACCATTTCATTATGCACTTACTATACAAAATTAGTTTATCTCATTTTATTCAATTTAAACAAGAAAAATGATAATAAAATCTCACGTTTCAAACCATATATAGATGATAATGAAATAACCTTTGGTATATATCCTTGGAGATATTAGGGCACAAAATATCTCAAATCAAGTTTAATTCACATTCGTCGAGAACAATAAGTTTAAGAAACGAAAGGTTGTATAACCTACAATAATAGAGTAATTAACTAAACAAGAACAAAAGAAAGCAATTATAGGGACACATAAATTAACGTTATATAGAGGTATAACCTTAGTAATTTATTTTAAAGCAAAAGTCAGTTACAGAAAGGGAAACTCTTGAGGATGAATAAATTTTTGGTGCAACAGTTGCACACAATGAAGACTCAATGTAACCGATCAATATGAGCATCACATATTTGTCAATATTATCTTTACTCTGATGTGTAATGCTCTTAGTGGGGTTGCACTGAATCTCAATGCAATTGTTACACCAAAGATTTATTTCATGAAAACAGAATTGTGATTCTAGTTCATATATATATATATATATATATATATATATATATAATACGAGAATAATAAAAAAGCGATATTAAACGCCTGCAAAAACATCAAGTGCATTTTCCTTGAGAGTTGAAACAAAGTAGTGGAAGTACTCCCCATAATTGAATGGTCGATAACGCAGAGGATGCATTTTTTCATCCACAAATTCAGGGGGCACTTCAATCTTCACCTCTTCCTTTGGCACTGCAAATAGTCCAAATGAGTACCTCTCTTGATCTCCACTCATCATCACTCTGTGTGTAGCTGCATGAAGTCTCCCATTGCTCCATGCCTATATAATATTATATATATAAATAAATTATCCTTAATATTCATCCTATTTATTTATATTCATATCATAACTTTATAATAAATATAAAGAGCAATATATATACCTTGAGTATGTCACCAACAAAGACAACAAAGCCATCTTGGGGTATCTCCAATTGAACCCATTTACCTGTTTTGGTTAGCACCTGAAGACCCTGAACTTCATTTTGGCATAAAATGGTTAAGGCACTTTTGTCGGTGTGAGGCAACAAGGCAGCTTCACAATCTTTGTCGCTTTCAGGAACTTTGTACTTTATCATCCTAAAATTACTAGTGCTCTTCATGTCTTCAATATCCGAAGTGTATTGCTTTGGAAGATCATAACTCTCGAGAATCATCTTCATGATGAGGAAACTCAGTTCAAGCATCTCTGAGCTCATGGACTTCAGTATCTCACTTTATATACCATGCATCCCCAACCCCAAACAAAAACATTGTTAGAAAAAATAAAATAAAACCACATATTACTCATTATTTAAATATTTCTTCACCATGGCTAATAAAATTCATTCAAATTTCATTAACTTTGAAAATTAAGATTACTAAATATAAGTCAAAAACTTACTCCTTCAACAAATTCCATGATCATTTAATTTGTATGAATTAAAAGAGAAATATTAAAAGGTTTACGCAATGCATCCAAAGAAGGAAACGGCCAGGGTACCTCTCTAGTACCTAGCATGCTATGATTTTTTTCCACATTTGAAATTTAACAACTAAAAACTCTGACAAAAAGAACAATGGACAAAATGAATACGTTACACTTTTGCGAAAAAACCGACTCATGTTTTCTGCTATTTTCAGAATTTCCGACAACGGTGCCATGTGGAGTACTGTGGACCCAAAAACTCTTAAATTCAACATCTTTGTAGGATAAGTCCTAAATAAATGATGATTACGGCAGATAACAAAGGGGGTTCGGTGAGTGTTATCGTCAACAGGGATAAGGATCAGAACACTTCGGTCATAAAGGCTCAAGTTCCATTTTTGTTGCCTATACAAATTCTCTTTAACAAATTAACAAACTTATAACTGCTACTGTAAATTCTAGTTTGGGAACCTGTTTTGACCTTGAATAATAATGTTATATCAAAGGTCCATTAATTAGTTCATCAGAATAATATCTCTGCATCTGCAGATAAGTTATCAGCATTTATATTTACTCTCAAAGCAAAGTGTAGTTTTGAGATTGAAAAATTAAATAATTATAATTATAAAGATTATAATAATTCTGAAATAAATTAAAATTATAAAAACAGCATAATTTCCGTCCCAAAATGACAGCGTATTAGGCTTACTGTAAATAATTTGTATGTAACTGCGGAAAAAACGAAACCTTAGTTTATATTACAATAATTCACAAATAATCCCATTGCCATGCCCGATCTCCTTGTATATATAAAATACAAGCAAGTTTGGACCTAGTTAAATGTCTATACTTTTTTCATAAAACGAAAAAAAAAGAAAAAGGAAAGAATGAATGAATGAAGATGGGATAAGATATGGGATTCATAAATTAAATGTGCATAGCTGGCTGGTACCCGTTTCTTCATTTAAGGTGATTTGAGTATGTCATGAGTTTTGTTTATTTATATTTTTTAAAGGTGCAGACACTAATTAAGGTAAGAAAAAGAGAAACATAAATTGCACCCAACTCTTTCAAACGTGAACATGTACCACTTAAAGCTACAACTTACATGATTTAATTAACTTCTATCAGTTAATTCATAACCAGGAAAAATAGTGAAGATAGATAAATGAAACTAACGAATGATAAGAAAAGAGATACCAGAAAACCGGGTGCCCTTGAGGCCACATGAGGTTAGTGAAGGCCTGAGCAGTATCAGAGAGGTGTGCATCATCAATCCCAAAGCTTTGACAGAGAGGAATAACGGGACACTCACCATTGTAGCTCCTGTAAGGCTTTGGGCTTGTGTGCTTCCTCTTGGTTTCTTCAGGTAAATCAAACAAGGCTTTTATGCCTATAAACATGTCTTCACATAGACCCTTTGGGATCTTATCATATATTAAGAGAAAACAACCATAACTCTCACATGCTTCTCTTACTTTCTTACACAATTCTTCCCATTTTTCTCTCCCAATATCCTCTGATCCCAACTCATCAATGGAAAAATCCAGACATGGGATCATCTCACTTTCACTACCCATTTCCCTCTCTCTATTTTTCTCTCTTTCTTGGTTGTTCAATTCTCAAACAAGGTTGTGCTATATATATATATATATATATAGCAAGTTAAGTGACTCAAAAGCCTGGCTGCGGAAAAGCAGGACCAAAGCCAAAAGCAAAGATATATATTAAGGAAATGGACAATATGAGAGTCTCGTCATATATCATACTAAATATGTTAAAAAATTGAGTTTACACATTTATTGGTTGAAATAAATTTACATTAATTTAAGGATATTAAAAAAATCCTTACTTTCATTTGATCACTCCATTTTTTAATATATGATTTAGTCCAAAAACTCAAACAAGTGAACTAAATTAACATTAGTGCTTTCAGTGGCGGACATATAGCCTGCCCTTGACTCGAGCTAAATTTTAACAAATTGTACTTATATATAATTAATTATAATTTAGCCCGGTTTAAAATTATAATTTGGCTCGGGCTAAAATTATAATTTGGTCCGGGCTACAATTTATAATTTGACCTTATCTAAACTTGAAATATTTGTGGTGAAATATTTGGATATAGGTTGTACTAGGTTATGTCACTGTTGTAAAACCCAGCCCGATCCGACGGGGTCGACCTGGAACCCAGCAAACCGGTCATCAGACCGGTTCAGGTCAAGTATTGGACCGCTCATGCATTGACCCATTCAAAACCCGAACAAAATCAGCCAAACTCGATCAAAACCGGTGACCGGTCGGGTCATGCGTTAAAAAAAATCAAAAAAGCAAAATTGTTTCATCTTATCAGAAAAAATGTAGAACTCATTTTAAAAACTTTTTATAATTTTATTGCTAGTATACTCTTCTACAATAACCTCAAATTTTAATTTTCAATATTGAAGCAATTTGCAGAATAATAAATTAGAGAATGTGACATATGTCATTTAAATGTAGTTGAATTTGAAAAATATGAGTTTAATGTCATTGAGAGGTATGTTTATGGGGATTTTGAGTTTCAATTTAAATTGACATAATAATAACGTGTAGTTTTATTTATTTATTTATGCTTCATATTTTTGAGCTTATCTAGTGAATCTTGTTAAATTTATTTTAGATATGGAGAATATAATTGAATTTATTATGTTCATATTTATATATATTTTTATATATCTATATATATTCGGGTCAACCGGTCCGACCAGTGACTCACCGGTTCAACCAGTGACCCAGTAACCCAGTATCTCGACTGGACCGATGTCCGGATCGGATTTAACAACATTCGGTTATGTGTTCAATTTTTACTTGTATAAAATTTTTTTTAGTAAAATTATAAAATATATAATAAAATTATAACTTTTCTTAGTGTTAATTGCTCTGATACTCTGTGTTTAATATAATTTAAATATATTATGATAAGACTTAATTAAAATTAAAAAAAAAAAAATACACATAATTTTTTGGCTCATACTCAAATTAAAGCCCGACTGCGCGGTTAGTGCTTTGCGTAGGTAAACTTAATGCAATTACGTTAAAGATGAGAGGTACGTTTGTGTGTGAATTCAAATGCAATAGTTTTTTGAAGTTTGTAAAATAATATTGAGAAGTGAGGAATGGAGCCAGAAGGGTGCCACCCTGTAAAAGGGAGAATATGTTGACGCATACAAGTTATGATGCACTGACTTGATGTTTAGTGTTTCACAATTCTTGATACTTCGATATTCTAACACGCATTACAGAGACTCAAAAAAAAAATTTGAAAGTTGTATTGTATTACGTTTTTAGTTCCAACTATTAAATTTTATGATTTATTTTATTAAGTTTAGTATAAATATTTGGGATATCTTATGTTTCTTTGCAAAATTGATGGATATTATAAATTTAGCTTCATTTTTTTGTTAAATTATTGAATATTAAATATAATATACACTACATAAATTAAAAATATTATTTAATATAAAAAATGTGTTCTAACATGTTGAAATCTAGCATTTTTAAAAATTAACAAGTCGAAGTGTCGTGTCGTATTTCATGTCCCGTGTGGATGTCAGTGCAACACAGCATGCAAGCTATTTGTATTAGATTCATTATTAATACATTAAATGTCTGATTAGTTTTTTATATTTCATTTATTTTCGAATGAGTTCTTGGTTGGCAATTACTATTTGTAACCGAATCTCATTCTTACAAGCAAGGCTTGTAGTAATTAATTGAATTTGAGGTATTCCTGCTAAGGAAACGATCTACATCTAATGCATTTCATTCAAAAATAGACATATACTTTTACGGTTTCCGAGTTGTTGCCTTCTTTTAATTATTTAGCCCTTCCTCGCGTCGCTCTCTGCTCAGATACAATAATTATATCATCCATTTATCGTATATATTTACAACAGTATTTACAAATAACCTAAAATGAAATATTAGGCTCGATGAACAAGAATGTGTATTATTAATATAAGATATCTTTGAATTGAGAAGATTCACCAATATGATACGAAAAGAAAAAAAAAACAATTATTCATTTTATTTACTTATTCAGTTAAAGCAATATGTCGTCATGGGAGCATATAACAATAACCATATGAATCATGATTCGGGAAAATTAATTTTCTTTTCAACATGTCCTCGTCATCTAATCCAATCGTTTCCATTAGATAAGAACAGATATATAAATATTGATAACTCCTAGCCTAGTTACCCTGCAACCTCACATTATGCAGAGTGATACGGGCCTTAGTTTGGAGTATCAGCCCATAAAGTAGCAGCTGTCCGATATTAAGCCCAACAATAAGTTAAACAAAGAAACAAAAAAAACAGCAGCCCAATATCAACCCTCTGAATGGAGCAAAGACAACAAGTTCTTTCGAGATAGTTCCACGAGAAACAGCAGCAACAAGTTCGAAGGAATCAGAAGATGGGGAAAGCACATTAGGAGATCTTAAGAGCCATTGGAAACTACTTAGGCTGATCCATTAAGGAAGTGTTTGGTCAAATTCGGTTAGTAATTAGTTGATTCTGTTAGTTTGTTGATTGTATTACTTTTCAGTTGAATGAATTAGAAAATAGTTGTTGATAATTGGTGATTGGTTGGTAGAACCAATCGACCCTTTAGTTTGGGTTACACATGAGTTTTGATTTCTATGAGATCGATGAGGAACAGAGACTTTGGATTGCTCCATTTTATTTTGATGGAAAAGCCTTAGCGTGATATCAATGTCTCAACAAGAACACCATTATTTCTTCTTGGTGTTGGAAATCGACAACACACAAATCGAAAATGGAAAAGAAAAAAGAGAGAATAGATACAGCGATTTTCCCTGGTTCACCCAATTTAGGCTACGTCCAGCTTGTATGTACTATATTCACCTCACCGTCACTCGTTACAAGTCTTTCGATTTATAAGGCAAATATAAATAGGATTACAAAATCCTAACAACAGCTATTCATGGGCCCTCATCAGCATGCGAAGTATGAGCCATAACAAACACTTCGGAGTCACTCCTTCAATCCTTTCAAGTGCGTCTTCTGATTTGGAGGACTATCAAGGAAAATTGACCAAGTGGACAATCCTTTCAACAGTGATGGAATACCAAGAACAATTCGAAACTTTGTCCAATAAAGTAGATTGTCTTTTTGAATCTTTTTTTTACTTAAGAGTTTGACAGAGAAGAAACTTTTTTTCACTAAGAAAATATAATTATAGGAGAAATGGTGAAAAAGATAGGAAAATAATTTTTTTGATAAAGTTAAAAAAATATTGTTTGATAGATCGAAGTATTATTAAAAAAATTTGATATATAATTGCTATAAATTAAAGTTTATTGGGGAAATCAAAATACCACCATCAATGTGGTATTTTCATGTGGACAATTTTTTTCATTTTTACACTACAAAATGTTTCGATCAAAAAAAAATTCCTAGGTAAATTTTTCCTATTCCATACCAAACAACTAATATATATATATATATATATATATATATATATATATATATATATATAAAAGCTTATTGTTATACATTTAATCAAAAATGTCTGTAAATAAATTTGATTTTATAATAATCATGACATTTCATAATGAACTTTCGCTTATCAAGAAACAAATCAATAAGAAATCATATAAATAAAAGCAAGTCTCTTAACAACTTATTTACAAAGCAAAAGTAGTCACTTAGGGAGAATGAATAATCACTAAACAAAAAATAATAATTTTTAACTACCAAATAAAAATAATAATAACTCTTCACAATTTTTTTTTCTTCATAATTTTACGTCTCTTGACAATTTAATCGCTCAATAATAAAAATAGTCATTCAAAATTTTATTGTTAATTTTATATATTTAGTATATGATAGGTTATATTTATAAATTTTTTGTTTACAAATTCAAATATGTACTCTGGAAAGTACATATTCAAATATTTGTATTCTTCAAAATATATAGTTGAGTTTGTAAACATAATCCTTCTCATTTAGTATTTATAAACTTTATTTATAATTATTAGTCACTTAATAAGAGAAAATAAGCACTCTAAAAAAATTAATAATAACTTTCAAATTTCATCAGAATTTAAAATATGTAAAATATAATTTATCATTTGTATACCTAATTTTATTATTTAAATTCATCCAATTTAAACAAAATAATGAATTAGTAATTGAAATATTATTCCTCCCGTAAACAATATTTTTTCTCGTCACTTTACTATTTGTACTACCGGTAGACTTGTCAATTAAGCAACAATTTTTTAAAATTTTTTTATCAAATTACGTAAGGGAAAAAGAACAAAGAATCATCGAAAACCCTAATGTTGAGAACGTGCCTTCCTAACAACCTTTAATTGCTTTAAGCTCGCTGATTTAACCACTTAATTTTAATGAGTTTATGAATACTCTAAAAAAACTATAGATTTTTTTATTTTATTTTTAATGGGAAACATGCACTTGTCATTCAAAGTGCATATATATGTGGGCAAAAAAATTAATTTAATGCCTTTTAATAAAATAATTACGTATTTATTACAGTTTTAAGAATAATTAC